CCTACTAACAATTTTCACTGTTTACAATTGTCTTTAAGAGAAGTTATAAATTCCCCCCATTTCTTATTAAAATTTTGGTCTTCCTGATTTCTGATTCTTCCAGTCATTTTAGCCATTTCAGCATAATTCATCAACTTGATCTGCCATTCTTCTCTGGTCGGGACTTTATCTTCCCATCTCTGGGCCAATAACATCTGTGCAGCTGTGGTCGCATACTTAAATAGTCTTTTCTGCTTCTTTGGAATTTTGGCACCTAGAATTCCTTTGGGTTTTTTAAAGGAAAGGTTATTTTAAACATATTTTTTTCAACTCATTATACATCATTTCCCAAAAATCTTTTATTACCTTACTTTCCACCACATATGATAAAAGGTGCCGTCAACTGATGACTTAATCAGATGCATCTGATAAGCTCTAGCAGAAACTCTGAGCAAATGAATGCTGAAATGGAAGCATCTTGAGGCCATAGCAATTGAATCCATGAGCTCTTTAGAGCTTCTACAGAAGGCACATAAGGAGATTCCCATTGGATCCAGACAGTGGCTCATCTAGTCCAGCAGCCTTTTCTCACAGTGGCCAACCAGATGCCTATTGGAAGGTTGCAAGCAGGACCTCAGAGCAACAGCACTCTCTTCTCTTGTGGCTTCCAGCAACTGGTATTCAGACTCATACAGCCTCTGACAGTAGAGGAAGAACATAGCCATCAGGATTAGTAGCCACTGACAGGTTTATAATCCATGGATATCTCTAATCCCCTTTTAAAGCCATCCAAATTGGCAGCCGTCACTGCTTCTTATGGGGACAAATTCCACAACTGAACTGTGCGCTAAATGACAACGTACCGTACTTTCCCGTCTATAAGACACCCCCATGTATAAGACGCCCCTTATTTTTGGGTGCTCAAATTTAAGAAAATGGGGGGAGATGGCACAGAGTTGTTGAGCTTTTTCTGCGGAGGATTGCCCAGAATTCTTGAGCTTTTTTTTTGGGGGGGGGAGGAATGCTCACGTTTTTTGAGCAATTTTTTTGGGGGGGGAGGGAATGCTGAACCGAATATTACTCACCCAACTGGCAAACGCTAACAATCGCAAACGGCGCAAGCCAAATTGCCGAGGTGGCAGCCAATCAAAAGCAGTCCTTGCCGCATCCACTAATAACCCACCCAATTGACAAAGCAGCAGCAATAAAAAGCAGCCCTTGCAGCAGACACCATTCACTCACACAATCCTTAGATCCTGCTCGCAGAGGCAACCAATCGCCCATCTTCCCTCTGCACTACCCATGTATAAGATGACCCCCCCCTCATTTTTTTACTTTATTTTGGAGTAAAAAACCCTCGTCTAATACATGGAAAAGTACGGTACATTTTTTCCTCTGTCCTGAATCTCCCAGCATTGAGAGTTCCCATTAGCATAACCATAAATAAATATATAACGTAAAAATATTTTGCTAAGTCTTTCCAATGATTACTACAAATGAAAAATGAGGAAAAATCAAACATACGGGTCTCTGAATGCAGTATGCACCAGCTGGAGCCAATCGTGAAAGACAAGTGACATGCGTTATGACAAAATACTCGGGGGGTGGGAGTTTATAAGACCTGTTTCATAATAACGTTGTCTATACAGTGGCACCTCGGGTTACAGACGCTTCAGGTTACAGACTCCGCTAACCCAGAAATAGTACCTCGGGTTAAGAACTTTACCTCAGGATGAGAACAGAAATAGTGTGGCAGCAGCGGGAGGCCCCATTAGCTAAAGTGGTACCTCAGGTTAAGAACAGTTTCAGGTTAAGAACGGACCTCCAGAACGAATTAAGTTCTTAACCTGAGGTACCACTGTATTTGCTTTCAACGTTTGTTTTTTTGGGGGAAATGCTTTAGATATCAAATTAGAATGAGTTGCCATCTTTGTCCTTTACAAAATGACAGTGTGTTGAAGTTCCAGATGGGAAAAATAAATGAGCTTTTGGTCTGATAATTTGGAAGGCACTGCCCAGTTCCATCCATCACAATTCAGCACAAATGTCTCTTTTGACTGGCATACATGTGGAGGGTTTCTAATCTATGAAGCCATCATCCCTTAACTGCTGTTAAACATGTACATTCCGCAGGTATTAGAGACTTTGGCATCTTCCTATGAGGAAGAAAGAGAGAGAGAGAACATCATATGGCAAGCAATATTGACTGTCCTTTTACGGTTGTTATTATTATCTGGAAACTGAACTGCAATCATCCATAAAAAAAGGAGAATTCCACTATGGAAGAAGACCTATTTATTTGTTTGTTTCTTTGTGGTATTTATATACTGCATTCCTGGTGGACTTGATAAAGTGCTTCTCATAAAATTAATAAAACGAGCATCAATAGCAATAATGGAATAAAACCAAAATGGAAAAAGACAAATGAGAAAGAACCCCGTTTTGAAAACCCATTTCTGCTTCTCCAAAGTTCTCAGGGGGACGCGGGTGGTGCTGTGGGTTAAACCACAGAGCCTAGGACTTGCTGATCAGAAGGTCGGTGGTTCGAATCCCCACAACGGGGTGAGCTCCCATTGCTCGGTCCCTGCTCCTGCCAACCTAGCAGTTAGAAACACGTCAAAGTGCAAGTAGATAAATAGGTACCGCTCTGGCGGGAAGGTAAACGGTGTTTCCGTGCGCTGCTCTGGTTCACCAGAAGCGGCTTAGTCATGCTGGCCACATGACCCGGAAGCTGTACGCTGGCTCCCTCAGCCAATAAAGCGAGATGAGCGCCGCAACCCCAGAGTCGGCCACGACTGGACCTAATGGTCAGGGGTCCCATTACCTTTAATGTTCTCAGGGCAAGATAGTTCTATGGAAGCCTTCTTTGGTGGCAGAGTGGAGAGCTGGATGATAGCTGTTTCAGTAGCTCTCAGAGCTAGGAATCAACATGGAGCAGCAGGACTGACCATTCCCCCAAGGTATTTGAGAATTCAGAATTTCCATTGCATGCAACCAGGATGAAAACTAGACACATATAAAAACGCTGAGAAATGCTTTAAACAAACAAACCCCGTTTTGAAAAATATATTGAATTTGCCATAAGCTCACCATCGCTATCTAGTGTCACTTTTGTATAATGCACTTAAAACATTATATTTGCAGCTGTATAGTTGAGTCCCAGGTGCTCACCAGTTGTCAGGGGCTGGGCAGAGGAGGAATGGTGGAGACTGCCTCCCCCTCTTGAACCTTCCAGGGAAGAGGAAGACAGTGTAGATTCGCAACAGGGGTTTGAGGAAGGCCACAGCTCAGAGGCAGATGAGGGGGAAAGTTGGGAAATCATAGGAGAGCCAGAGCAAAACCTGGCTGACACGTTGTCATTAGAAAGCATTCCAGTCTCCTCCCCTCTCCCAGAACCCAGCGAGCCTTAAAAGTAGGAGAGCAAAGAGCTCAAAGACAGAGGGCACATAGCAGCACCCATGGAGGAGGTGATGATGATGATGAATGAGGAAGTGGGAGAGACGGAGGATGGAGATTCACTTGGGACAATGCCATTATCCAAGATGCTGGGGGTTTTAGGTTTTCTCTGTAAATGCTGATGGTATGAAATCTTCCCTTGTCTTTATACTTTCCTGGGCAATAACCAGGGGTCGCTGACAGTATCCTGACACCAGTATTAGCAAAACAGGCCTAGTTTTGTGCACCCCAAACTGAAGAGGCATTCTGCATGATACCCAAATGAAAAGGCTGGTATCTTTGAGGACACTAAAGCACATATCAAAGGAGAGCTGCAAAATACCTTGTAATGACGGCTACCCTTCCAAGGCATCCTCACTCTGCGTTATTATCTCATTTGAGGCACCAGGAGCAGCTACAGGGCATGCAGTCATGACCTCACCTCTTACTTAGGATGGGAAGAAAGTGACAATGTGTTTAGCACATGACAGGGCAGAGAACATGGCTGAGGATGGCTAATGCATGCCTATGTCTGAGGAACTGGGGCACATGCTAAATTATGGGTATGCTAACTAAAGGGTTTGGAAGAGTTGCTGCTACTACAACTGCAGGTGGGGGGGGGAATGCAGATTTAAAGCCAGGCTCTGCAAATAACCTAGCCTGCAGGAAAATTGTTCCTACGCAGGTATAGGGATCAGTTTGGAAACAGATGGGAACAGCATTCTTTAGTGCCGCACGGGTAGCAACCTGGGCTTTGCTGGTGCTGATATTGCCTTCCAGAAAGTGGTGACAAAGGGGCTCTTGAATCTGCTTTAGCTTCGACATTCAGCGTTTTTTGTGTTTGACAGAGCAGAACTAATCTGTTGAAATTACTCAACATTCACTGGAGTGAAGACTCTTAGTGGGGAACCCGTAGAACCTTATTTTGGGAGCATAATGATGGCCAGTTACAGCTCATCCACACTTCCGTTTGACTTCTAGGCAAGGGTCTAAGAAGTGTTCCTTTTGTCCCGACACTTTCCCTGGGAAAACCCACTGTTTCCTGCTGAATTGAAGCAAACGTCAATCGGGTTTTCTGGGCAGCATGCCCAGAAGAGAACTCTCTCTGCTTGCTCATCTAAGATTTGTTTGAGAACAGGCTTTTCATGGGAGACTTCCACACTTCGGCTATTATTCTTAGTGTCAGAAGGTGATGGGATGCAATAATATATTTCCACACACAAGGCTTGATCTCCCCAGGGAGGTTTGCCTGGCACCTTCATTGCATATCTTTAGGGGCCAGGTGGAAACATTTCTCTTCAACCAGACCTTTGGCTGATTAACACTCTACATACCCTTGTGCAAATTAATTGAAACAAAGCATGTTTTCTATCTTACTCGTAATCCTGTACTCAAAACAAACACAAAATGTCAGTTTGGTCTTTTTTTTGTTGGCTGATGCAATCATTACATCAGCAGCTACTGTATTGCATCAGATTTTAGAATCCTGTCCGACCGCCGTAGTGTATGATGCAATCATTACGTCAGCAGCTACAGTATTTCAGCTTTTAGAAACCTGACCAGATGTGATTCGACCGCCGTTCGAGATGGATGTGACACCTAAGAAATGTACAAAGATCGTAACTCTGCAAGAACACACAGCTAAGACATATCAAGAGATTGCTTCAGTGGTTGGTGTGAGTTTAGCAACTGCCAGCCGTGTTATCAAGTTGAAGCAGGAAACTGGATCGGTTTCTCCTAAACGTAAAGGAAAGTGTGGTCATAAGAAGAAAACAACTCCTACAGATGATGCTTCCTTGCTTCGACAAAGCAAAAAGGATCCGCATTGAATACGGATTTGAAGGAGAAAGGAATCCAAATCAGTTCCTCTACAGTTCACATTTTTGTACAATAAACTACTAAATTCATTGTTTGTTTCAATTAATTTGCACAAGGGTGTATGTCCTAAATGTGTTTGTGGGAGTGGGGTTATTGGTTTGGTTTGTTCTTGTTTTTATTATGTACCTGGTGGTTTTATTCAGTATTTTATGCTGTGAACCACCTGAGATCTTTGCATGGCGGGCGGTGTGCAAAGTTAATAAATATTAAAAAAAATTACTAATTATTCTTATGAGTATGCTTGCTGATTTTTTCTGTCTGCACTGAGTACAGCAGGAAACCAACATAGGGTCAGAGGACAGATGTTCTTTGCATGCATATGTTGTAAATGTAATGTAATGTCTACTCAAAATTCAGTGGGAATTGCTCCCAGGTAAATGGGGTTAGGATTACAACCTATGCCATTGGTATCTCTGCCAAGCATATTCTTCCTACTCATGGTTGTATGCTATAGAAACATGAGGTACTCAATCCCCTCCCCACCTTTTCTACACACATCCAGTTCTCTAGTTTTGGAGGAAATTCTTTTCTTGTCAGAGTTTCTGTGACTTCTAAAACAGAGTTCACCCAAGTGAGTATGCTACGAAATGCCTCTTGGACTTCTTAATATATTATCCTAACCTGTAGTTAATTATGTGGAAGAATGTTAACCTCCCCTCTATGTCAAAAAGGCCACAGACATCAGAATTTGAAGATTAGCCAAGATTAAATAATGGCAATTGAACTGCTGCAAATAAACATTTAAGGTCCTAAATGAGATTGGCAGCAGGAGGAGATGAGGTGTCTGAAACATACATTTTGTGGTAGCATCCTTGCTAAAGCAACAGACAATTAAGTGGAATTCAGTGCCTGGTCTTAGAAAACAGTTCAGTATAATTATGAACAAAATAATGAAATAAGCATTTTTCTAATTAACAGAAATAATTGGGATACTGCTTTTTCCCTCCATGTTAGAATCTGGAAGAACCTAGTGGGATATGGTTAATTGGAGAGCCAGTCTAGGGACTTCTAGAGAATGTGCCTCAGATGATAAGAATGGCTTCCTCTTCCTTCCTTCCTTCCTTCCTTCCTTCCTTCCTTCCTTCCTTTCTTTCTTTTTTAGTGATACACAGATGTTCCTTAAAGTTTATCCATATATACTCCATATACCGTATTTTTCGCTCCATAAGACACACTTTTTTCCTCCTAAAAAGTAAGGGAAAATGTGTGTGCGTCTTATGGAGCAAATGCTGGCCCTTACGGAGCCCCTTCCGTCCCTCATCCTGCTTCGCTGGGAAGCCAGCAGATCAAGAGGCGCTGCGCAGCTCTCCTTCTTGCTGTGCTGGCTTCAGAGATAGCTGCACAGCTTGCTCTGGCTTTTCAGGGAGGTGGGAGAAGGGACGGAGGGCAGCCTGTCAGTCCCTTCTCCCACCTCCCGGAAAAGCCAGCAAGAGCCACTCTATCTTAAAAGAGCTGCGCCAAGCGATCATGTCTGCGGTTCTTGCTGGCTTTTCGTGTTTTCCTCCTCTAAAAACTAGGTGCATCTTATAGAGCGAAAAATACAGTACTCATTAATAACAGTTGGTTTAGTCCCTCAATACACCTTCAGATATGGCTGTATTTAAGTACTTTTAAGTCCCACTGACATGAACAGGAAAATAGCTCACATGCTGAGGAACTCTCCTCCTTTGAAGTCAATGAGACTCAAAGCATGCTTAATTTGCCTGGAGAGTGCCCAATTACCTTTTCCAACCAAAGTCACTAAGTGCGCCCTCCAAAGTTAGGATAGACTAATTCAAAATGGGAAGAAAACAATCCTATGGTTGAGATGAAAAACTGGGGCAGAGCAAGCAACACAACCCAAGCCCTGCTGACTAGCTACAGGCAAAGCAGGAGTTTGTGGGAGAGGGCTGTTTTTCTCCCTTCTACAGTGGTGCCTCGCAAGACGAAATTAATCCGTTCCGCGAGAGTCTTCGTCTAGCGGTTTTTTCGTCTTGCGAAGCAAGCCCATTGACGGATTAGCGCTATTAGCGCTATTAGCGGTTTAGCGGCTATTAAAAGCTTAAAGGCTTAGGGATTAGCTGCTAAAAGGCTATTAAAGGCTATTAAAGGCTTAGCAGATTAGATAAAGGGGAAAGCGAAAAAAACCTCAAGACTCGCAAGGTATTTTCGTCTTGCGAAGCAAGCCCATAGGGGAATTCGTCCTGCGAAGCAACTTCAAAACGGAAAACCCTTTCATCTAGCGGTTTTTCCGTCTTGCGAGGCATTCGTCTTGCGGGGCACCACTGTATTTTTTAATCTCCTTCCACTGAGCAATGGAAATTACTATGCCAGCACCAGGGCTGGTGTATATTGGGGGCCTTTGGCAGCCATGTTGGGGAGTATGAGGGGACTTAGGATCCTGCAGATCCATAGCCTCCTCTGGCATGCCTTCAACACACAGCTTTTTCTTCTTCCCTCACAAACAGAACACCACTTGTGGGACATTCTGTGGAGCATCCTGTAGACATACAGAGCACCCTCTGGCAGCATGAATTCTGTGGGATGCAATCCACTGAGAGCAGTCAAGTACAACATTGCTTGTTTTGCTAGAGTGGACGTTCAACGGAATGTTTGGTCCAGCCAGTTGAAACTTCCTGTTCCTCCTGGCCTGGAGCATCCTTCCTTGCATCTGACCATTGGGTGGGCATGACCTTTCCAGACCTGGCATGCTGCCACTGTCTCTCTTTTGCATCTTCCTTTCGTCCTGTGAACGGCTGAACTGCTAGCCTGCAGTCACTAGGTAAATCTCCCTTATGGGGTAAACCTGTTTTTATATGTTTGAAACGTTAAGCCTAAAGGCTGCCTTCAGGGATCACACTGTGCTCTGCCTGATCATGAGTAATTGGGTCCTCCCTTAAAGAGGGCACGTGTTGCGGTGAGAACTGGCAACCAAACCCTGTGTTGTGGGTGGGTTTGATTGATTAGCCACAGCACCCAATTGGTAGGTCCCTTGATGCTGTGTTTAATCAGGTCGATGGGACGCAAGCTAAACTGATCAAGGGACCTATATATACCTATGCACATGACCCAGAGCTTCCTCTTTCGGCGCGTACATTTGGAACACCCGCCCACATCTCCCTATATTTAGGGCTTTGCGCTTGACCTTGCTATGCTGTCATGTGTCGTCTGTCGTTGGCACAGGGGCACGGCAGGAATTTCCCCCACTTGGCTGACTAGCTGTTGCCATTTGGGTTTCGCCTGCCGCGTTGCAAATTGTCACAACTTGTAAGGTTGAGGATAGGCTCTGGTTCAGGTGATAGGGATGGGAGAAAGCTCTCACCATCCCTATGTGAAGGGTATTACATTAAAGGAATCCAGGGACTCGATGGTTTGGTCAATCCCTGAGAGGGGGTTGTGCCCATGCCTGAGTCCAGGGGGACATTTGGGTGGCAGAGATAGCCTGTTCCTGGCTTTCCGCTTATCCAGGTGTTCACCCTTGGCTGACCTATGCTGGTGCCCTGGGTCAGCGCTACCTGCAATGGTGCAGGGAGCTAGTCAAACCATTCACTTGCTGTAATCAATAAAGTTGTGGCCTAAATTCTGCCAAAAACCAAGCCAAAATCTTGTCTGAATTTATTTAAGGGGGAGGTTTAAAGGTCTAAACATGCAAAATGTGCTTTTTGTTACTTATGAATAATGCTGTGGTGTCTTTATTTTTTTAGGAGAGATTCAAGGGGTCTTACCAGGAAAATAATAGAACACATTTCAATCTGGATAGGCCAGATTGAATTGCGTATTGTCTTAAGAAACTCACATGAGTTTGCAACAGGTTTTCTGCTGTGTAAAGGGGAATGCACTCTGGTAAGTAAAGGAACTTGCTAGTGCAAGTTAGGAAGGATATTAATAAACAATCTATCCTCTCCTGCCACCCTGAACATTCCCACAAATTCCATCCTGCGCCAGCCACCATCCATTAGAGGCACAATTCACATATGCCAGAGCCCACGGAATGCTAGTCAACAACAAAAAAAGCTGATGATGCAAGAACTCAGCCGCTCCCCCAGTCTCAGAGCTGCAGAAGGGAGATTCATTCTTATCATGTAATGCCTTTTGCATGCCAGAACCCTTTCTCTCAGATCAGGGAATGCTTTCTCGCTGGGGGCTCACACTAATGTATGGTGGAGGGCTTTTTCCATTACGGCGCCCACTTTGCAAAATGAACTCCCTATGGGAGAGCAGGAGAGCACCAGCGATGCAATGCTTTTGCAGGCTGTTAAAGACCTTTAGTATTTCCTGGCTGGCTGTTACTCATTTCCCCCCCATTACTTCTAGTTGTTGCAGTTGCTGAAATTATGTTTTGTGGATGTTTCAGCTGTTCTTTACTGGTTTCGGTGGGTTTTATGTATATTGTGAGCCAGTTTTGTGATATAAAAATGAAAAGTGGTATGTAAGGCTTTTAAAAAAACGAATTAATAAAAATAAATAATCCTTTTTTCTAGAAATTTGGGGGAAAGAAATCTCTTGGCTCAGTTTTAGTGAACTTGCAAAAGCAGATAACATAGTATTTGTTCACTTAGTGGTTCAACCCATGATTTATTCAGTAGTATCGTTTTGAAAAGTCCATCACCTTATTAAATGGTCAGCTGCATAATATTTTATTTTATTTTTAAATGTAAGTAACCTACAGCTGAAAATAGCCAACTGCAGATATCCACTGAGTTACGCGCTTCACATTTGAATGTTCAGCTTCATGGAAATGCGCAAATGCTCAGACCCAGTCCATGAAATCACACTGACCAAATTTTTCCAGCTCGCTTGGGGGGAGGGGGTTGTAATTGAAGGAAATAGCTACGTTGGAGTGGGGAGGGTGAACTGGAAGGAAATTACACCTATTTCAGTGCTTTAGCAATTTTGTGGGGGTGTTTGAAGCCTGGATGAGTGGAGTGAGGTTGCGCTTGATGGATTTTTATGCTGAGATCAGGCATTTCAA